TATATTTAATATTTTATTGTTGTGTATTTTTCCTCTGTGCAGTCTTATTTAATCTGTTAGATAACAGGAAAATAACTTTTAAAGGGGCGGTGGATACAAAACAATTGACTTGTAATAATGTATATAATAGTATGTGACAAATTTGTGATTAGTACAGACTAATCACCAGGACATAATGTAAGGCAGGTCTTGATTTTTATCAGAGGTTTTATTGGATTTTGAAGCGGTGAAACATGTTAGGTAACATTTATAAATTCATATTTTTTTCCCTGCCCACACAGGCTTGATTACATAAGCCGAAACGTTGAGAATGTATTTTGATTATTGATTATGAAAATGTTTTTCTTTTAAATAGTTTGCACAGATTAATCATGCACACTGAAGAATGAAGAATTTAAACAGTTGATTATTTATTTATTTGCAGTGAATGGGTGCCGTCAGAATGAGAGTCCAAACAGCTGATAAAAACATCACAATAATCCACAAGTAATCCACACCACTCCAGTCCATCAGTTAATGACTTATGAAGCGAAAGCTGTGTGTTTGTTAGAAACAAATCCATCAAGATGTTTTTAACTTCAAACTATTGCTTCAGACTAAAATATGAGACCATAATCCATAATACTGCTTTCCTCATCTCATCTGAATCAGGAGAGAAATATGCACGGATCAAGCACTGCTTACAAGCCAAAACAGTTCATAACAAATTGTTGATGGATTTTGATGTAAGAGGACTTTTGAGATGGACTGGAGGAAGCGTTATTATGGATTATGGACTCGTAATTTAGCTGAAAGCAGCGTTTTAAAGTTAAAACTTCTTAATGATGGATTTGTTTCTTACAAACACAGCTTTCGCTTCACAAGATGTTAACTGATGGACTGGAGTGGTGTGGATTACTTGTGGATTATTGTGATGTTTATATCAGCTGTTTGGACTCTCATTCTGACGGCACCCATTCGCTGAAGAGCATCCATTGCTGAGCAAGTGATGCAATGCTACATTTCTCATAATTTTCATCTTGTCTTTAAATCAACTATGTGTGTTTGTTTCTTGTTGTTTGCTGTGGGAGTGCAGAGGTTTGTGCGAGTGCTATTCCAGGACGACAGTCGTAGTGCAGTTCGAACACTCCTCTGGAAGGCAGGAGAAAACGTCGAGGCTTTAGCCCAGACCTGCGCCGGTCTGTTCGGCGTGACGGAGCCGCAGCACTACTGTCTGTTCTGGAGGAGTGAAGGGGAAATGCGTCCTCTACCGGCCCACGTTCAGCCCCATCAGCTGGGCACGCACGAGGGAGCGTCGCTGTCGTACCTCCGCTCCGATCACGACTTCAGCAAGATGCGCAGACTGACCAGAGGAGGCGCCGTAGATCTGGGCGAGTCGGTGTGCGAGGAGTGAAGAGACACAGGTGCACAATGTGACTTTTACATTTATATTTGTTGGTGGAAAGAGGATTATGGATGTCACAAAGTATTTGAATGCTGTATACGTGTTCAGTTCTATGGATGATGGTGATTATTTTCATGTGTTCGGGTGTGTTGCGTGCAATCGGAGAGCACAATAGCATTTCAAATGAATCGAAGCAAGATACTTGGTAATAATGCAAAAAGCAATATCTGCCAAACAGGAGATCTGGAAATGCTGTTCAGCATTCTGAGATTCAGCGGTCACTTATTGATTGGCTTGCAGAGGTGTATATTGCAAAGTAATACCAAAGTGTTGAATATAAACAAAAAAAAATCTAAATACAAATGAGTTATGTTTAAACAATATATCATATATGTACACATCTGACATGCTCTGAGTAATGGCACTGTGCCTGCACTGGACGCATGTAGCATGTTGCATTAAATCACTCCTATTTGAATCACTGGAGCTGTTTACACTGGATGTGTCTGACGTGATGCACTTTCAGTTCACGCTTTCTGTTTTTGACACATTACAAAGCTGCCGCAGCCATTGTATTTCTTTCATTCATCTGAAATACAAACATGTATTTACAAATACCATAGGTGTGAAATGATAGATATTACTTTTATTTAATTCTACACTGTGGCCACATAAAATTTTTTTTTTAAATCTGGGTTTGATTTATTTTTTTTTTTCGATTTTGATGTGAGATTTAACCCTTTCATTCAGATTTTCATTTGAAGCTCCATTGCAGCACAACATCTCAAATTGTGTTTATGAACATGCATTAACGTCACTTAAATGCTGATTAATTTATTTTTAATCAAGATATTAGCAAAATAGACAAATGTCATCTATTAAATATATAGTAGTACGGTTTTATACTAATTATTTTTGTTAAAATACATAGTTATATATACACTACCATTCAAAAGGGTAAAGATATTTTAATGTTTTAACTTTTCTGTTCACCAAGGCTGCATTTATAATATTAGAAATACAATAAAATCAGTAATATTGTGACATATTATTACAATTTAAAATAACTGTTTTCTGTTTGAATATATCTTAAAAATATATATATTTTTAATAAAATATATTATAAAAATATAATTTATTCCTGCACTCTAAAAAATGCTGGGTTAAATACAATATTTTACCCAGCACTGGGTTGTATTTAACCCAGCATTTTTTAAAAGGTGTAATGCAAAGCAGTTCAGTGTCACATGATCCTTCAGAAATCATTCTAATATGCTGATTTGCTGCTCAAGAAACATTTCTGATTATTATCAATGTTGAAAACAGTTGCTGCTTCATATTTTTGTGGAAACCGTGATGCTTTTTAATTTTTGTGATTCTTTGATGAATAGAAAGTTCAAAAGAACAGCATTTATTTGAAAGAAACCTTTTGTAATTTATAAATGTCTTTACTGCCACTTTGGATCAATTTAATGCATCCTTGCTGAATAAAAGCATTCAATTCTCTTTAAAATAAATATATAAATATATATATCACTGACCCCAAACTTTTGAACAGTAGTGTAGATTTTTGTCGAAACACATAGTTGTTTATACAGTAACTACTGTATATCTATATAGTTGGAAACAAAGTTATTCACACATTTTGCTCTTGCTGAACTCTTAACATCGAGCTTATATATATTCATATTTCATTATGAGGTGAAGTGCAGCTTTGATACTTCCAGTGTAGACAACCGACACGCATGTGAATACAGTGTGATTATGGAGTGTGTAGTGAGTTTTGCAGTAACACTGCTGGTACTACAGTCGTTTTGTGGTACTCTGGTTGATTTTATGAGTTTTACTTGAACTGCAGCGGCTATATTTATTAGCTGATCATTGTGGACTTGCTCACTGAATCACCACTGGCCTGATATTTGTGTTTATTTGATTTATTCCTTCTCAAAGCAGACTATTTCAGTGTGTGAAGGATGTAGTGAACATGTGGCATCATGATCATTTGTGAATACTCATGTAAATAGACTCCAACGAATCCGGCTGGTTGTGTTTGGCAGATGTGTTCAGCACTAATAATGTATGTTGTGGCACTCTCTGGTTTCACCTCACGGTGGGCAGATAACCACGCAGACACTGTCAGGAGCTCCAATTATGGCTGCCCACAATTCAGCTCACACCGGCAAGCAAATGTTGTTAAGTCAGGATGAATTTCTCTCTCAGACTGAAGAGGGCCATCAGCTGTCAAACTTGGGTATTTCATAGACAGGTTTTAGGTTTTAGTTTTAAGACAGGGTCATATGCATGAAACGGTGCCGTTTGTGCCTGAAAAATTTAAAAATGTTATTGTTTTTGAACCAGCACTAATACCCTATTTAAATTATTAAAGGAACACTCCACTATTTTTGAAGTGCTACCGCCAGACCCGGAGATCGGCTGAATGGATTCGAAAACGGTAAAACTCAACTGTTTAACTCTAGGGGAGTTGGAAAATGAGCCTATTTTCAACAATAGTGGAGAGTTCCTTTAACTATTATCCCAAAAATAAAAGATGTGGTTACTGCCTCACACAGCACTAATAGTATTTACTGTTACTCTTACCATGAAAAGCTACATTATTTGGACCGTGTTTGGACTGTACTTCATTTCTGTACTTATAATTTGAATAGAAAATTCTGGTAGAGTATCACTGGTTTTGTGTGCCTTACAACATTAAAATAAAATAAATAAATATGTAAAAAAAAAAAGTTTTTAAAAATTGTTACATTGCAATGATATTTTATTATAAAAAATATTATTTTAATTTAATAATTGTTTGACATTTTTTGACATTTTTGCACTGATGTGCAACCCGTAATATTTTATTTGGGGTCCAGAAATCAGAAATGTGTTATATTTATATTAGTATTAATTAGTATTATTCGGGCTTGAACATCAGTGCAAAAATAAATATATATATATATATATATATATATATATACACACACACACACATATGCAACATATAACATTAATAATATATATATTGGCACTATATAGCATATATTACTAATATATACTATATTACATATATATTGTATAATTACATAAATACTAAGACTAATACACACACACACACACACACACACACACACACATATATATATATATATATATATGTATATGTGTGTGTAATATAATATTCGGGCATAAACATCAGTGTCAAAATGTCTGATATTTTAGTTAATTCCAACACTATATAACCCATTAAAATGTAATGGTGATGGATGGGAACAATATGCAAATATTTATTATTTTATTTTTTTAATGACTTTCGGTAACACTTTATTTTAAGGTGTCCTTGTTACACATCTTACATGTACTTGCTATTATAATAACAATTAATTATGCATAATTACATGCAAGTCAAACCCAAATCCTAACCCTAACCATATAGAAAGTACATGTAGTTATTTAATATTACTCAGTACTTATATGTATGATTACACTGTAACAAGGACACCTTAAAATAAAGTGTAACCTGACTTTCTTTCACATTAAGCACTTAGAGTTAACTCATGCAGACACACACGGCAGCGTTTTCTGCGAATGTCCCGCCAAACGACTGTTTCATCAAACGCTCTCTCGCCGGTTTCACTCTGACTCTGAATGTGACATTGTAATACTTTCTTTCTACAGTGAACTATAACTATAATGTAATGCTTATTCTATGATTCATGGGGCTCTGATTTTGACTTCAGTTCAGCTTTGATGCTTTTTATTGCTGGATCAGTTGAACTCGTGGCCGATGCATGCCTTCGTTTGTGATGCGGTTCATTGTGATGCATGAATGAACAATATGCTTCATATGGCATCATCACGCTCAGATTAATTTCTCTGAATGTTTACTGCCTAGGGAACAGTGCTGTACGCTTGTTCACTGACATACAGTATTAAACATACAGTATTATGAATGCAAACGCCTGGCATCTGTCTCTCTGGAGCCGCTGGTTGGCGATTATGGATTATTGTTTGCTGTTTTATACACTCACATTGACCTGAACTTTAGTAGGTTTGTAGTCTTTGTAGCCCACAAGATGGCAGCAGCAACTTAGTATCAATATGTAATGTAGTTTTGCAGATCTTTTTCAAATTTGAATCATATTTGGTGGATTGGTTGGAAAAATAACAATAAGAAAGATTGATTATCAACAAGTGACTTTTATTGATCTATTTTAAAATGTAAAAATGTTTAGCCAGTTCAAACTCTTCTCTCAATGTCTTTAGTTTCAATTTGCCATTTATTTCATTACATTTCTTTTTTGTGTACAGTACATGATGTGATTCAAACCTTAAACTTTGAGGTCTGAATACGCTTGGAATAAACGTCTGAAGTCTCCAGTTAGTTAAATCTGACAAAACGACAACTCGGTTAAAATGCAAAAGAGTTCATGAATAAAGAAAAATATTTTATTTGTTATTTCTAAAAATAACATTTGGCGTCTTAGTTTGGTTTAGTTTTAGTTAATTTTAGGTGCTTTCATCTTTTTTTTAAATATTTATTCATTTATATACATTTCTGTGTAGCTTTGATTAATTTTATTTCAGTTTTAGTTTAATTTTTAATAGTGCTGTCAAACGATTAATCGCGATTAATCGCATCCAAAATAAAAGTTTTTGTTTACATAATATATGTGTGTGTGTACTGTGTATATTTATTATGTATATATAAATACACACACATACAGTATATATTTTGAAAATATTTACATGTATATGCATTTATATATTTATATTCTTATATTTTATATTATATATAAATATATTTAATATATAAACATAACATCTTTTTCTTAAATATATGCATGCATGTGTGTGTATTTATATATAAATAATAAATATACACAGCACACACACACACATATTATGTAGACAAAAACTTTTTATTTTGGATGCAATTAATCGCGATTAATCGTTTATTTAACTTTTCAAGTTTAATCTTTTCTTCTAATATTTCTATTTTATTTTATTTCAGCTTTATTAAAAATGTTACATTTATACTTTGATGACAAATTTGCAAGAGTTAAATCTGACAGAATCGCCTTGAGGACTCATTCAGAGAGAAAAACAATTCATAAAGAGAGTAAAAATGCTTTATTTCTATTTTTACAATTATAACATTTGGTGTTTTAGTTTGGTAAGACAGCAGTAATAATATTAAATCTTATTTGAAATAATCAATATGGCATGAAGTCTAAAGTATGACCATGGTTATTTTAGTATCATCGAGATATTATTATAGTTTTTATTCATATTTTGAATGAGTTTTTATTTTATATTATGTGTTTTCATTTTACTTTGTTACATTTTAATTTTGTTTTTGTCATTTTTATTCGGTTTTTTTTTTTTTATATGTCTATATAGTTTCCTTTAATTTTAGTTATTTCAGTTTAGTTATTTTAGTACATGAAGATAAACTAAATGAAAACGAGAAATGTTGCCTTAGCAACTAAATGGAAATAAAATAAATTTTATATATATATTTTATTTTATTTCACTCAGGCCTGGTTTCACAGACAGGGCTTAGACTAAGCC